AAGCTTTTTGATTTGCTGAAAGAAAATCCCAACTTACTCTTTTGGGAACTTTTCTTGGGCAGAGGGCTGGGTTGCACAAAATTCAAGTATTCTCAGGTTACTTTGAAGAAGCTTCTTTGATGTTTCCCTGTGCCAGTTTGTTTTGGAAGGTGCTTTAATGGTCTTCCCCTATAAAAATAACACTTTAAAATGTATGTAGGTATCTCAGCTCTCCACTTAAAAAAATGAGCCAAGTTGTTTAATGCTGCTGTTCAAGGTACATTAACCTTGTCTGCTAAAGCTCTGACTGGCTCTTGCAGGTTTTATTCTCATGTTTATGTTGCAGAGATATCCCTGGAGCCTTTCAGAGATGGGTATCTTTGGAGAGGAGAGAAATATTTAGCAGTAATTGTTGTTCTCATCAGAAATCCACTGAAGCAGCTCCATCCTTTCTGTGGAGCTGAAGTTGGGAGGAGGATTGGGACATATTAATTAAATAAATACATGTAAATATTAAACAAAAAGCATTTAAATGCCTAGGTGAAAATATTAAATAAATAAACGCTCCTTTGGCAAGGGTTTTTTTGGCATTGTCCAACATGGTGTTTCCCTCACCCTTTTATCCCAGTACTTATGTGTTGACCAACTGCTTTTTTAAGAAGAAAACCAGAAAAGTCTGGTCTAGACTTTGTTCTACAGCAATACCAAGTCCCTATCTGCTTTAACCCATCCTTGCAGCAGAAACACAGACTCAATTCCTCCTTTTTTTACCAGGCAATAACTAATAACAGGATACTGGGAGGGTATGGAGGTCAGCATTTAGTAAAACCAGCATCTTGGCCAAGAGCAAAAGGTGCTGCTAGTGCAAGAAAACCTTCTGGAACTGGATTGAGGAAATTTGGCTGTGATATATTCTTAAAAAAAATGAAAACTATTTGATGGCACAAACGTTCCTGATCTCCCCAGATGAGGTGTTACATGAGCAACATGTTTGGAAGCAACCTTGAATATGGAGGAATGGCCAAGGATGGGTAATGTCTTGAAAATTTGGATTATTTTCTGGTTTTGACCATTTAATAGCACTTGGTTTATTTTTAACAAGCTCGGGGTGGCATAAAGGACTTCCTGTAATGACATGAAAAGCTGCTATTCATCTTTTGGGGTAATTTGGTAAAAACAGGCAAAAAAGGGTGGAAATTTGTTGATAGAAATGAGACATTGGAGAGGGTCACTCTTAATTCACTTTACGGCCGATCAAGAGTTGGCATCACCCCTCGAGGGCGAGCCTGTCCTGGTGGCTCGGGGTGAGATGTATTGGCCTCTGGAGGACCCTCTCCATCCCTCCCCTGCTGTATTTCTTCATTTTCACTCAGCTGAGTGCATATATCATCAACTTCAGCCTGCACAAGCCCTCTGAAGGATGGTGACATAAAAAACTCTCAGCCTGCTGTGGAGAGAGCGTGACTGACACGGCGTTGTGGAGAATCTCACAGCTCCCCCTCTTCAAAAAATCCCCTTCAGAAAAGCCAATCTTCCCTTCATACACAAAAATACCTTCCATGGCTGGTAAAAAAAAAATCTTTAAGTATTTCTAATTACTTTGATGGTTCAGGTGGAGAAGAAAAGCCTGAGAAGTTGATTTTCTGATTTTTCTTGTTGAATCCCCTGTTATCAGTTGCATGTGTTGCTGTGGGGCAGAAGCCTCTCAATAAGCTGGAAAAAGTGATCCTCATTTTCCCATTGGGTCAGAAACAAGAGTTGTGCTTTACAGACTGAATATTAACATTTTGCTTTGAAAACAGTGATGTAGAGTCCATAAAAGGGATTTTTAATTTTTTTTTTTTTTTCATTCAGCCCCAATTCTGACCAGCCCTAACCATTCTAATATGGGTTTATTGCTGTTTTATTAATCAAGGAGGTCATATTCACCTGGAGGGGGACTGGCAATACTTTGGTATTTTAAGTGTTTTTAAGGCATCATGGAGAAAACCCCCCAACTTTTCAACTTAGTCTTTAATTATTTTTACTTGAAAAAGGATGTAATATATTGCTGGTAAAAACCCCCAGCCTATAAATCTGAGAGTCTTTTAGATAGGTACAAGCTCTTTGGGAAATACATTTCCAAAGTAATGGCAACATTTCAGTGATAGCTGAAATAATTTTATTTCATAAGGAAATTTAGGATACTTTGATCTCAAGTCACTGCCAAAATGTGAAGTACTGCTGCTTCCGGAAATGAAAGAGCCTTTATGGGTTTTTATTGCTCACCATTTCTTTCTTCTGTGCAAATCCCCCAGGAGCTGGCTGCAATTCCTGCCCTCCCTGATCTCCAGATCCCCAGAATTCTCTCTTCACCTGTGATTTGAACATTTCCCTGAGGTGGGCTGGAAGGAGTTGGCAGGGGTTTGGTGATGCTCTCTGGATGTCCATAGTCAAAGTCAAAAATTAATTTAAGCGGGGGAAAGAAAGAAAGAAAAGAGAGGGGATTAATGTATAAAATGACAAAAAAATAAGAAAGGGTTAATGCACATAATGGCAGCTTTCAACCCTTCCCTGTGCTGGCTGCTGATCAATCCATGGGGCTGACAGCTCTGCCCTGTTATCCTGAGCTCCATGGCTGGGAGTCCCACGTGAAACACCTGTCCAGCTTTTCCTGTGGCCACCAGACATTTCCTGGATATTTACAGTGCCTGAGTGCATTTGTTTCCCCCAATATAAATAAATATACTGCTATTGGCAACAGCTGTCTCCCACTTTTATCCCTTTTTTTTTTTTAGCTGTCAATCCTATTCTCCAAACAAATCATCACCCATAAACCTCAATGAACAGCTTGATTTGAGCAGCTTAGATATTATTCAGCAATTAAATTGGGCTCTGGGCTGCCACCTTCTGGGAATAGACTCACCCAAAAAGCTCACACCCCACAGCAAATCACCACGTGCTGGCTGTAGGATCTCTCTTGGCAGGAACAATAGATGCCAAGCAGGGTATTTTTCCCAAAATAGCAATGTCTTTTTTTTCTTTAGCTTCCCACACAGATGTCCAGACTGTCACAGTGCTAAATTCTGCTTTTCCCCAGCTGAAACTCTTTCTGGTGGGGAGGTTTTTCCCTGGGTGTTGCCCCCCAAGGACAGGGATATTTGTGCCTGCAGCTGTGAGCTGAGTTTGACATTGGACATCAAAGGTTTTAAGCTGTGAGTTCACTCAGGAGCAGATAATTTTGCCTCCTGCTATTTTGCTGTTGGGAGGAAAAAGATGAAAAGCATCATTTTAATCCCATAAATGCAATATCCTCACTGCTAGATGTCTGTGTCAGGCAAGAACCCTGATCTACCTTCACAATACACAGGATTTTGGGTGTGATTTCTTAGTATTCCATTCATGGGTTATCCATATTTGTGCAAAGTATAAGAAAGAATAACCTCATTTATTCATGCAAAATAAAGAAGGGTTGTTGATGCTCATCCCCTGCACACAGCACTTGGCTTTCCATTTGGATGTGGTGCATTTGTGAACTTAGTGCCTGGCAAGAAAATCAGAATATTGCACCTCTTCCCCTAAAACAGCCTCACAGAGAGGATTAAATTTTTCACAAACATTCCCAAATGTGCCTCAGTCTTGGCTGAGCTCATCAGTGCCTCTCCTCTTCCTTGCACCTTCTTGTCTGTCACCATTTCCTGGTGAAAGCAATGCTGACACTGGTTTTGGGTTATTTTCCCTGACAATATCTGAGGACTTTCATAAATTTCTGCATTTCCTCGTGGGGTGGGTGGTGCCATGGCTTTTCCCCAGATAAGAAGCCAGTGCATCACAATGGGGAGATCCCTTGGGGAGATGTCATCTCTTACAGAAAGGAGAAAGAAGAAATGTCCTTTGGAGGACCCAGGAAGATTTTTGGGTAACTTTGTGAGTTGGCCCAAACCAGAGCTCTGAGCCACAGAGAGAACAGGGCAGAGTTTTTAAGAATTCAGGCAAGATTATTGGCTTTTCTTTCTAAAGCAACCACACAGCTGCAGTGAAGTAGTGGGATAAGAGGTATTTTCAGGGCCAAGAATTGCTTTTGGGTCACATCTACAACCTATTTGTTGGGGACTTTTCCCAGCCAAGTGCTCCACAAGAAATTTATCCCTTCCTGGTGCCCCTCTTTTTTCTCCAACTCCTTTGGACCTGAAGATACAAAAAAAATTAGTCTGTTTAGTCTGTTTTCCTCCCAGATAACTGCATTTTAGAGAAAGCAGCAACTTCCAGAGAGGTTGGAGGCAGTGTAAGGACCATCTCAGTTTATGGGATGTGCAAAAGCCAGGTTTGCTCCCTGGTTCAAATAAAAGAAGAGTTTCCACATTTCTGTGCATTCAGTCATCATGGGTCAGTCACCTCAGCACAGGAGACAGCTGGGTTGGAGTGCACAACATAGGAATATGTTAAATAAAAGAATAAATAAATATATTAAATATGTTGGTGAATCTCCACATTGGATTCTCAATGTCCCTTCTGAACTGAGCATGAGGATGTGACTGTGGTGACAAAGGCAAAGAGATAAATAATTTTGGGAGGGTTTAGTGTATCATTTAAAAAATGGCAAGTTTTGTATTTATGGTTTGTCTTTCTGCTTCCAGAAAAGAGGAATAGCTGGGAGGGGGATGGAAATCCCCATGGAGGCAGTGTGGTTAGGCATGAGGGGTGGAAGGAAAATGCCCTGGCCATGCCAGGGTTCACAGGGGAGAAGATACCATGAGCTTCACTGATGGCACTTTCATCTCCAGTGCAGATCCCCCTGCCAGTGACCTGCTTCTCTTCCCCTGCAATGCATTCCTTATCCAAAATCACAAATCTCAAAAACTCATCAAATCACAATAAGGCTCATCAAACCACCTTGAGTTCCTTCCAGGGACTGTGGGCAGAGGGCAGTGTGAGCAATGTCACCTCTCCTTTCTGCCTTTTCTTTTTCCTTCCCTTTCTGTGGGGTTTCTCAGGGCTGGGGAGATCCCTGGTTCTCCAGAGCTGTGTTCTGCTGCCCGCAGGTTCTCCATGTGAGTCCCAAGCAGGATGCACCATGTGTCCCCTGCACCAGCTCTGACCATGATGGCCACCCAGACAGTGCCTCCTCCTCCCTACCAAGACACCCCACAGGTGAGTGTCCTCCAGACCCCCAGCTCCTGCATTCATTGCCTTGATTTCCCAAAGAATGCCCATTACAAAAGATTTCATCCCAGAGAATTCATCTCAGAGACTGGTAGAATTAAAACCTCTTCTGTCAGCGTGCAAGATGGAAAGGTTTTGGGTAGAACTATGGGGTTTTCCCATTTTTTGTTTTATGTCTTGTGCTGTGCCAAGGGAAATTTAGGTTGGATGTTAGAAAAATGGTTTTTTACAGAAAGAGTGATAAAGTTCTGGAATGTTCTGCCCAGGGAGGTGGTGAAGTCCCCATCCCTGGGTGTGTTTAACAAAGCCTGGATGTGGCACTGGGTGCCAGGGTTCAGTTGAGGTGTTTGGGGCTGGGTTGGACTCCATGATCTTGAAGGTCTCTTCCAACCCAATGATTCTGTGATTCTCTAAATTCTGTGATTTTGGGGTTTTTGGGTCTTCTTGGAAAGCTGACACGGTGGCATGATTGCAACCAGCAGGTGAATTAGCTGGGAAGAGGAAACACTTGGCTAAACCAGGACAGGTTTAGTCATAGGAATGGCCTTTGATTTATTTCCATGGCATTTTTTAATAACCTGTGGCAGGGGAGAAAAAAAGATTTCATCTCCAGTGGTGCTCTAAGCAGTCAAATAACTTTTTCAAGCATCGTTATGGAGTCAAGTTATTATAAGAAAAAGAGTTTGTCCAAGAGAAACTCTTCTGGAGCACCCCAGAGGGCTGGACTTGGGAGTTGGGGATGGATTTTGGGGAGGGTCCTGCACCCTGAAGCCTAAAAAATGGATTTTGGAGATGGTCCTGCACCTTGAAGCCTAAATTTACCCCTAAAAAAATCCTGAGATTTTTTTAGGGATAAATTTATATCCTATTTCTGCTTTTCCAGCTACAATGACTGAACAGGGCTGATCTGTATTGTGCACTGAGCCAGCTCCACGTTCAAAGCAGCTTTTTTTTTTTTGTGCTCATGTGGAAGATTTCAAGCTTTTCCTCATTTGCTGCGTTTCTCATCTGCAAGAGCAGAAAAATCTCCCCTCTGAACAAAAAATCCAAACAAAACCAGACAAAAAAAACAAAACCAAAAAATCCCACAAAACCCCAAAACAAAACAAAACAAAAAACCCCAAACAAAAAAAAAGAAAAAAAAAAAAAGGAAAATGAAAAAAAAGAAAACGAAAAACCCACCAAAAAACTCAACTCTCGAGCCTCTCCTCTGCTCCTCTGCAAGCTAAAATAAATAAATTGACTTTTACACCCCCCCTTGAAGGCACCCGTGTCTCCTTTCTCCTCATTTCCTTCGGTGGGAAAAGGTCACTTCTCCCGAACGACACCTCGGTGGGGTTTTATGGCTCCTCAACTTCTGTGTCATCATTTACTCGCTTCGCTGCTCTGCCTTGAGTAGGGCTGGGGTTTTTTGTTTTTTTTTTTTTTTTTCCAAATTTTTTTTTCCCCTTTCTCGCTTACACAGCGGGGAGCCACGGCACCGTTTGAGTCCTAATGGGCAATTTCAGGCACTTTTCAAATAGGCGACATTTTCCCCTGACATCCTTTGGAGACGTCCCCTCTCCCTTCTCCCTCCCTGTCCCTTCTCTGCCCCCTGTTTGAATACATTGAATTTTGGGGACCCTCAGGAGCTTTGCTGACCAAATCCTCTCTTTTTTTACCTTATCAAGGAGGTTGCTCAAGCGTTTAGTGGGTTTGGAGGAAAAGCTGCAGCCAGGAATTGATATTTTTTTTTTCCACTCGTCTGCGACTGCTGTGAACTTTTCACCTGAAAATTTGGGATTTCTAGGGATTGGAAAAGCAAATTGCACAAATTTCTTCTCCCCAGAAGTGGGGAAGAAACGGGGAGGAGTGGATAAATGGGGAAATTATTGATTATCAGAGCTACAATGAGCTCCTCCTCATCGAGGGAAGCACTTTGGGGAGAAAAGTGCTAAAAAAAGGGATTTGGGGAGCTTTGCATTCCTGTTTTACAGCAGAGGCTGTGCAAGCTGTCACCCTCACTGTCAGAAACAGCAAAAATGGAGCAGAAATGATGGAAAATCTGCCTTTTGGAAGGAAAAAATGCTTCATTAATCCCTGGAATCTGTTAAAGGAGTGGAACATGGAGCATCTTTTACACCAAGCGTGATCTCACTGAGTTCTCTACCTGTTGAAAATTAAAATCTGCATTAAAATCAGTTTTCTGTAATGAATGACAGCCAAAAGCTGAGGAAGAGTCTTCAGCCATTTCAATGGCAAAAAGAGGGTTTTTTAAAAATAGGTATTTTTAGCATCAAAAGTGGTAAAAGCAGCTTTGCCCTTCCAAAACAAAAAATAAAAAAATGTTCCTTAAGTGGTCAAAAGAGGGACAAAAAAGAGAGGAAGGGGGATTTATTCATTTATTTATTCTAAAAATATATTGAAGAAAAAGTGTTGTTAAAAATTGGGTTAATTTTTCCTAAATTTCAGCACAGAAAGTGATAAAAAGCAACTTCCTCCCAAGTGGTTACAATAGGGACAAAAATTACCCATAAAGAAATAAATAACTCAGTCTAGAAATATATTTTGACAAAAATTTAAAAATTGGATGGAGAAGTTGATTTTTCAGCTTTTTCAACACAGAAAGTGATAAAAGTATCTGTCCTCCTCCCCATAAGAAGTGGGGTTTTTTGTGATTATAACAGGGACATATATATTTAAATTTATTTAATTTATTTATTTAAATTTTATCTTTAAATAAATATATATAATATAATAATTATATAATATATATAAAAATATAAATTTATAATTTAAATTTTATATTTTCTATATTTAAAATGTATTTTTAAAGATATTTTGAACATATTTTAAATTTTTTCAACATTTTAACATCTCTTTTTTGTATTTTCTACACTTTAAAGCATTTTGGAGTTTTACAAATGTATTTTTTACATTTTTATGCATTTTAAATATATTTTTAACATATTTATAAAACATTTTTTGATTTTCACATCTTTGAACATATTTGTAACATTTTAAAACTTTACTTTTCCAATATATTTGTAAACACATTTTGAACATATTTGAAACATATTTTATCAAATTTTTAACAGTTTACATAATTATTGTCACCATTATAATTTTCTCCTTCACTGTTTTTGCTGCTTTTCAAACTTAACTTTTTGTGCTTTTTATTTTCCTTTTTCATTTACCTTTTTTCCCCCCTGTCCAACTATTTTTGGCCATTTTCCATGGGAAAAAGAAACAAACCAAAACCCACCTGTGGTTTTTTTTTTTATCAAAATTTACAACTTTTACACCCAAATATTTCCTCCTATTTCCCATTTTCCCACTACCAGGAACCTGCTGCCTTTTCCCTCCCCACCTGCTCCCCTAAATTCCATTTTTGGCTCCATTTTTTCCCCTCCTCCCTATTCAGCTGCAAATCCCCCCCATCTCAGCATCCTCTCCCCTCTTTTTCCATACACTTGGAATTATTTTTGACTTATTTTTTGTTCTTTTCTTTAGTCCAAGGTGAGGTAATGGCTTCAGAGCAGCCCCAAAGGAAGCTTTTTTTTTTGGGTAATAGCTCAATTAGTTGCAGACTTGGCTGGAAATATTCAACTTGGCAGGATGCAAAAAGGGCTTTGGAATCCTGGTAAATAAGTGTGATGATGGGGGGGAAAAAAAAGGGAATAGGTTGGGGGGAAAAAGCCATTTTTTCCCTGCATAAGTGTAATTTTCCATGGAGATAATAGGGAGAAAAAAAGGGGAAAAGGGAAAAAAGATGAAGAGATATTCAGTGATGTGGCTGGATTATCCCAAAATCTGCTGCATTCTAGTTTTAAATGGAAAATGGGGGGGGAAAGGAGAAATCCCAACTGCTGGGATCAGGAGGGGAAGTGGAGCCCGAATTTCACTCATTTCTTGAGCACCAGGGAGGGGACAGAAATTGAACCTGTTGGGAGAGTTGGAAATCAAATAGAGCCAAGTGAATTTGCAGGTGCTGGAGCCCAAGTTTGGAGTTATGAACAATAAAGGAGATTGAAAAGAAGGAAAAAAAAATGGAAAAAAAGCGACAGCAAAAGGTCAGGCAGGAGATATTAAAGGCAAACATTTTAAAAGCAAAAGGTGTCATGATTTTGGTCCAGCTTGGGTTTATAAAGTTTTACATATTTTTGTATAAATGTACATAATATATACATTTACACTAGTTAATGACACAATAATTTGTGTATATGAACATTTTTATATATTAACAATCACAAATAAATTTAAAGGTATATTAGAAAAATAAATAAAAAATACATAGAAGTCCATTTCTGTATAAATACAGAAATATAAATATATAAATATATCAGACAAATAAATAAAAATATTATTTATATCCAGACACAGACAGGAAGAAATAAATGTATTAGATAAATAAATTAATTATATATATAATGTTTAGCAATTTTATATAATAAATAAATTACATATAAAAGATATAATATATAATTTTTATATAAATTTAAAATTAAATATAAATTAAAATTAGATATAATAAATTATATATATAATGTTTAGCAAGAACCAGGGATTCCTTTTGCTCTGTGCCTCGAGGGAAGACTGAACATTTACAAGTAAAAATAAGCAAATACTAATTTTTGCACAAATTTCAACAGAGAGGCAGGCAAACCAACCACTTTGCAACAGTTTTTCACTGGGATTTTAGGCTGAAAATTCACTGGGATTTTAGGCTGGATTTGGGGTGCTGCTGATGCTCTTAAAGATTCATATTTACCTAAAATCATTGCTGGTTTCAAATAAGCAGAATGTTTGTGGTCAGAGGGATTTATTTCACAGCACTACACATCATTCCTGTGATGGGACCATCAGGGCTAAAGTTGGGGGATTTGGGCATGGGCACCAAAAAAATTGGAATTTTTTTGGCTGTCTTCTCACAGCTCTGAGGTGACTCATGCTGGGCTTGGCGAGCTGGAAGAGGCTCCCCTCATTTTGGGATAAAATTGAAAATGACTCTGTCTAGACAGTAATACCTGCTTTGAAAGGGCTCTTGGCAAACCATGGTGCTGCAGCTGATTTAATCTGGGACTTGGGTGAAACGTCCCTGCCTAAATTACCCCACACAATAAAGATGGTGGGAGTGTTTTCCTGTATTTCCCCTGGTGAAAAGTGGGAAAAGTGGGGGAAAATGTGGTGAAAATCGAAACCTTCTCTTTCCAGGCAAAGATAAAATGCCTGGGTGTGTTTTACCTGCCCCACCAGAGCGCTGCATTCTAAACTCCCAAAATCCTGTGCAGAACACTGGGAAACCCCTCAGGAAAGCACAGCAAACCCTGATTGCATTTTATTTTATTTTATTTCACATTGTTTTTCCCCTCTCCTTTATCCCCTGCCCTCCCCAGATGACAGCCACAGCCCAGTAAAGTCTGGAACGCTGCATCCTGAACTCCTCAAATTTCGTGCAGAATGCCACAAAGCCCATCAGGAAAGCACGGCAAACCCTGTTTTTATTTTATTTTATTTTATTTTATTTTATTTTATTTTATCTTATTTTATTTTATTTCACATTATTTTTCCCCCTCTCCTTTATCCCTGCCCTCCCCCGATGACAGCCAGGGCCCACCAAAGCCCAGAGCACTGCATCCCGAACTCCCCAAATTCTGTGCAGAGCACCGTGAAACCCAGCAGGAAAGCACAACAAATCCTGGTTTTATTTTATTTTATTTTATTTTATTTTATTTTATTTTATTTTATTTTATTTTATTTTATTTCACATTCTTTTCCCCCCTCTCCTTTATCCCCTGCCCTCCCCAGATGACAGCCAGGGCCCACCAAAGCCCAGAGCATTGCATCCCGAACTTCCCAAATCCTGCGCAGAACGCCGTGAAACCCGTCAGGGAAGCTCAACAAACTCTGATTTTATTTTATTTTATTTTATTTTATTTCATTATTTTATTTTATTTTATTTTATTTCACATTATTTTTCCCCCTCTCTCTCCTTTATCCCCTGCCCTCCCCAGATGACAGCCAAGGCCCACCAAAGCCCAGAGCAGTGCATCCCGAACTCCCCAAATCTCGTGCAGAACGCCGTGAAACCCAGCAGGAAAGCTCAACAAACTCTGTTTTTGTTTTTATTTTATTTTATTTTATTTTATTTTATTTTATTTCACATTATTTTTCCCCCTCTCTCTCCTTTATTCCCTGCCCTCCCCAGATGACAGCCAGGGCCCACCAAAGCCCAGAGCACTGCATCCCGAACTCCCCAAATCCTGTGCAGAGCGCTGTGAAACCCAGCAGGAAAGCACAACAAACTCTGATTTTATTTTATTTTATTTTATTTTATTTTATTTTATTTTATTTTATCTTATTTTATTTTATTTCACATTATTTTTCCCCCTCTCCTTTATCCCTGCCCTCCCCAGATGACAGCCAGGGCCCACCAAAGCCCAGAGCACTGCATCCCGAACTCCCCAAATCCTGTGCAGAGCGCTGTGAAACCCAGCAGGAAAGCACAACCAAGCCTGTTTTTATGGTATTTTATTTCACATTTCTTTTCCCCTCTCTCCTTTGTTGCCTGCCCTCCCCAGATGACAGCCACAGCCCAGCAGCCCACCAAAGCCCAGCCCGTGCACCTCACCACGCCGGCGGCGGCCGCCAACGCGCCGGTGCCAGCCGCGGGTGGCGACCCCCAGGCGCAGCTGGAGGCCGACAAGAGGGCTGTCTACAGGTGAGGCTAGATAATTGCATTCATTAATGCCTTTTAATTAATGCCTTCGTTGTTGGAATGCATCAATTACTGCATTATTGTGGGTTGTTGTATCAGTTCGCCGATGCATTAATTAATGCATCCGTTGCTGGGTTGGCTGCTTGATGCATTCGTTGTTATTATTATGCATTATTAATCTGCTGTTCTTCTAATGCATTAATTAACACATGGGAAGGGGGGAATTAGCAATTAGCTCCTTTTTAGCAATAATAACTATTGATTGTAATGCCTGGTGATGGAGCTCCTTCGTGGATGTTGTTCTGCAGCATCTCTGCCCCTTCAAAATATTTTAAAAAACCCCCCAAATTTACCTTTTTGGGGAGAAAGCCATGTGACTTAAGGCTGAACAAGGAGTGAAGTCACACATTAACCTGAAATGTGCAGTTCCTGTGTCTGTACAGGATGTGGGCAGTGATGGGCAAGGGATGGGTGGCTCCTCCAGTTCACTTTTTGTCAATTTGGGCATAATAATATATAATATTTTAATATATGCAGTAATGTTATTATATAACTACTGTAAGTACTGTTTTAATTATGTAAATAGTATAATTATATAAGTAATATGTAATTATACAAGTGATATGTGATAATTTACAAATCATAGAGCAATGATGCAAGAGAAACAGTATTCTAATATAATTAGGATTAAAGTTTAAGGTTTAGAATTAACCTATCAATGACCAGGGCTGTGGGGGCTTGTGAACCAAAAAATTGCAGGTTAGACTTGAAGGAAATAAAATATTTGTCCTACAAATATCAACTATTACAAGGCTGAAAGGTCTGAAAAAGTGGATCAAAGTATGGAATAAACTCACTCTTTCCGTGGAAAACTCCAAGAATTATTCACTGCAGGTCTCTCAGTGATGGAAATCATTTCCTCAAAGCAAAAGAAGCCATTTGAGGGCAAAAATACCTTTTTTTGCCCTTCCTTGAGGAGTTCTGCAGCATTTGTGGGATAAAGGGAAGAAAACGAACCCCACCCTTGGATTTTCACAGCCTTAGTTGGAAGGTCAAAGACATGGAACAAACACCTTGTGGGAGGTATTGCCCCAGAAAACTGGGGGGAAATTGCTGTCCAGCCCCATGTGTGCACTTATTGCCCAAACCTGGATGCTTATTTTTGGGTACTAACCAAAACAAACCCACAAATATATTTTATATAAAATATAAATAATAATATAAATAAAATATAAAAAATATATAATATAAATAAAATATAAATAAAATATATAAAACAATTATATCCTACTATATATTTATGCAATACATTATATATATACATAAAAATAACCTTTTTTTGCTGAATATCTCCCTATCCAGTGGTTCAAATGGATGGTGGGTATGTCATTAGGTATCAAATGCACACAAGGATTTTTCTTAGCTCTCCTAGGCCCATTTTCCTTCCCCCCAAAACAATGGATTTTTGTTAATTTTTAATAATTGCACCAAGGCAGAAGGCATTGGCTGTAAGCATCAGTCGATCAAGCTGGAGGGAAAATTGCTGGGAAAATGTGATGGGAAATATAAAAACCCATGGACAAGTCACCCTGCCGGGTTTTATGCCCTAGCAGGAGTTTATCACCCGTTAAAAAAATAGAAAAAAGGGGGAAAAAATCCTTCCCCACCCTTGTTGGTGTGGGAGCAGCTTGGCAGGGACTGGTCCAGCAGTGCCACTTCTCAGCTGCAATTTTCTCCCAGCTAAAGTGTTTTCTTGACTTTATGCAACAGTGGAGCTGGGACTTCCCAATGGATTTTGGGCCAGAGAAGATGATGCTCCTGAAAGGAAATGATGCTTAAACCACCCAAGCACCACAAATTGGGTTTTTCCAAGTGGGAAATGCCTGGATTTCTTTGCATTAAGTTTGATGGGAGGCTTTTTGTGGTGTTATTTTTTGTTGTTTGGGGTTTTTTTTTTTTTGTTTTGTTTTGGGTTGTTTGAGGTTTTTTTAGGGGAAAAGGGGTGAAAAAAAATAAAATTCCTGTTGTGATGTGCCCGCTGTGCTGCTGGCTCGGCTGAGGTGGGAAATTAGGCCATTAGAGGAATTCATTCCTCTTTATTAGCCCGTGTCGAATCCTTTTTATTAGTGGCTGCAAACGACCTCTCTCCTGCAGGAAAATGTCAGGGCTGGTTCAGCCCTTTCATTTGGAGGATTCCCTGGCAGAAAAAAAGCCCAACTAAACAAACTCAGGGTTTTTTTTTTCCAAAACTTAAATCAGCAAAAGCAGATTTTCCTACTCCAAAATTCTCCTTTGTGCCATAGGGGTGGTTTCTCTGTAACACCCACTGTGGGAAAATCCTCTTGATTCCCCTGTGCATCCTGGATATCCATCCATTCCCTCCACTGCAAATTTCATGGCAAAAAGGGGCTCCAGCTCTTAATTTTTGTGCCACAACCTCCACCTGCCACGGTGGGCTGTCCTTTCCTTTGCATGGTGTGAGCACAGAAAGGCTGGAAATGGAGAAAATGTGGTTTGGGTTGGCTTTTTCCCATGCAAAAATGAAAAAAAAACCCCAAATTCCACAGTAATTCCACATAAAGCTCATGGCAAACCCCCAATTCCAGCACTCCTCAAGACTGCCCTCCTTGGTGCCCTCCTTTAACCCATCCCTGGGGGTCTTGGTCCCCTGGTTTCCCCTTGTGTTTGTTTTTCTTTTATTTTTTTAATACAGATATTTTAAATTTTGGGGGTTTTTTGTTAGTTTAACGTTACTTTATTTTGTTTTGTGTTTATTTTATTGTTTTGTTTCATTTAATTTTATCTTTACTTATTGATGGATTTGATCGGATTGGATTCCACTTTGGTTTTTTTATTTTTATTTTATCTTATGTTTTAAATTTTTTATTCCATTTTATTTTCTGCTGAAAAGCAAACCGTTCTCCCCATGGCCACGTTCCTTCCTCCTCCTACTCCCTCCTTTTGGCCAGCCCCAAACCTTCCTGGGAGCCCAGAGCAGCACTGCCCCCATTATCAATACTGAGGAGCACGGGGTGATGCTGGCCTTAATGCAACCCCTCAAAAAAAGGGGCTCAAATTGCTCAGGGGCTGCAACCCCCTTTCCCCCTCCCCAAACCCCCATCTTGGGGGTAATTCCATACCTCTGCTCCTAATTGTTGGAGCAGCTCTGGAAATGGCAGCAGGCACCTGCTGCGGTGCCACCGTTCATAAGTCCCAATAATTCAACTTTCCGCCTGGAATTTGCCTTTCATATCCCTTGGCTAAGCTCCAGCGGGGCGACTGAAATTATGAAATGATTTCCCCCCCTCGCCACTCTCTGCTCCAGCCTCGGTGAATCTTGCATTAAACCAGGATCAGGACAGATTAAACTATAATATGCTGTGGTATTAGCGGCTGCAAATGAAGACTTAGCCAAGGGGTTTAACCCCTTCGCCTGACTCCGACTCAAAGAGGCTGTCAGGAGGTGATTCATAATCATCTTTCGGGCCATCTTTTGGAGATAAAATGGTGGAGCCAATCCCATTGTGCTCGGATAACTGGAGTGCTGTGGGAGGCCATTCCTGCAGGAGCATTTTGCAGCTCTGCCTGGAAAGACTTCATAAAACATTTTTGATTTGAATTTGCACAGCTGGAGGGGCTCATTGAGGCTTGCCCTAAGCCGTGGTCTTCACCCCTGTATTGTCCATGTGCTTTGGTGCTCTTTGTGTATTTGCATTTTGTATTGCATCAACTTGGCATCATCATTGGAGAGATTTGGATTTCAAGGAGAACTATAAATCTTTGTTTTCAAGATGATCTCATGGTAAGAAAGAAGTGGTATTTGACCCATCTTTGTGGACTTGTCAGAGGTACAAAGAGACCTCTTGGTGGGGGAGCAACCCATAACAAGGTTGGTCCATAGGATGCTGCAGGCAGATAGAAGTGCCAGTCCATCATCTCCAACCAAAAGAGACATTTTGAGGTGAAATATTACCATCCATGAGCAGGTGCTGATGTCCATCCTTGAAAGGAAAAGCCACTTGGACAGCAGATGGTTCCAGGACATCTTGGCTATGTCCAAGACTTAACCTGTTTGCCTATTTAGGAAACGCTAACTTTGTTGCAATGATGGAAGATATTGGAACAAGCCTGATGGAGGAGATATTGAATTTTACAATTTTTAAGCTTTTTTTTTTTTGTTGTTGCTGAATGAGATCTAGAGGGACCACTTCCAGTGTGACTTGGGAGTGAGGTTTACACCAACAGGTTCTTACAGACTGGGAGGGAACGGATGGATGGATGGATGGATGGATGGATGGATGGATGGATGGATGGATGGATGATGGATGGATGGATGATGGATGGATGATGGATGGATGAGGAATGGATGGATGATGGATGGATGGATGGATGGATGGATGGATGATGGATGGATGGATGGATGGATGGATGGATGGATGGATGGATGATGGATGGATGGATGGATGATGGATGGATAAGGGATGGATGGATGGATGATGGATGGATGGATGGATGGGGGATGGATGGATGGATGGATGGATGGATGGAGGATGGATGGATGAGGGATGGATGATGGATGGATGGATGGATGGATGGATGGATGGATGGATGGATGGATGGATGGATGATGGATGATGGATGATGGATGGATGGATGGATGATGGATGGATGGATGGATGGATGGATGGATGGATGGATGGATGGATGGATGGATGGATGGATGATGGATGGATGGTGGATGGTGGATGGATGATGGATGGATGGATGGATGGATGAATGGATGGATGGATGGATGATGGATGGATGATGGATGGATGATGGATGGATGGATGGATGGATGGATGGATGGATGGATGGGGGATGGATGGATGGATGGATGGATGATGGATGGATGGATGGATGGTGGATGGATGGATGATGGATGGATGGATGGATGGATGGATGAGGGATGGATGGATGGATGGATGGATGGATGGATGGATGGATGGATGATGGATGGATGGATGGATGGATGGATGGATGGATGGATGATGGATGGATGGATGGATGGATGGATGGATGGATGGATGGGGGATGGATGGATGGATGGATGATGGGTGGATGGATGGATGGATGGATGGATGGATGGATGGATGGATGGATGGGGGATGGATGGATGGATGGATGATGGGTGGATGGATGGATGATGGATGGATGGATGGATGGATGGATGGATGGATGGATGGATGGATGGATGGATGGATGATGGATGGATGATGGATGGATGGATGGATGGATGGATGGATGGATGGATGGGGGATGGATGGATGGATGGATGATGGGTGGATGGATGGATGGATGGATGGATGGATGGATGGATGGATGGGTAAAGATGGACATGGGACCTAAACCAGTGGGAGTTATGGGTGCTCTCCTTTGTCCTCTGCAGGCACCCTCTGTTCCCGCTGCTGACGCTGCTCTTTGAGAAGTGTGAGCAGGCCACGCAGGGCTCGGAGTGCATCACCTCAGCCAGCTTCGATGTCGACATCGAGAACTTTGTCCACCAGCAGGAGCAGGAACACAAGCCCTTCTTCAGCGACGACCCCGAGCTGGACAACCTGGTATAGGCAGCTGGGGCTTGGCAGATGATTTCTGGGGGGTGTTGAAAAGGTAGGGGGTGAGGAACAAATGAAGATTTACAGCCATGTCTCTGGGCTCTGTAGTGCTGGTCATCTTGGCAAGGTTTTCCACAGACCTTTTGAGACCTTCTCCAGGACCTTCTTTGAGACATCTTCCAGAAGATCCCCTGTAAGAACAAGCCCCCTGTCTCCTTTTGTCCCACACAACCTCCATGGGGTCAACGAGGTTCCTGAAAACAGCTGAGGTTGCTGGTTGGTTTGTGCCCCAAAACTTGCAGTCTCTGTAGGAATTACTGCTCCTCAGTGCAACGTGCACAAGTGTCAGCATGCTCGTCTGCCACCATCTGGTTTGAAGTGTCATGGCCAGCTCATGTCCTAGAAGCAGGGCAGAATGATAACTTTTTCCATAAGATCATGGATCACAACACTTTGGAACACTTGAAGCCATTTTGGTGAACTCCCTGCTGCAGCAATTCAAATTTCCTACTGCATCCATTGCTGCTGGATGGTGCCTCAGAAGACTCTGCTTTGGATTTCTCTTGTGTGGACCTCAGGAAATATCCTCAAATCCTGTCATTTTGTCCAGGAAAGCCTCCACACATGGTCTCCATGGCAAACGTGGGTAGACAAGTTTGTGGCACCATCCTGATGCTCCACAAATGGATTTTCAAGGTCTGAGAGGGAATTCTGTGCACCTCTGATGGTGCAAACAGCAAAACACCTCCCCTGAGGGATTGTGTGTCCCCTGGGACTTGTAGCAGAGGGATTTCCATCCCAAAAAAAGAAGCAAAATCAGGCAATTCACAGGCTCCTTTTTCCAAGTATTGCAGATATCAAGGAGGTGATTTTGAATGATCACATATCACAAAGGGAAGAACTAGCAAAACTTATCTAGGTGCAAGACCTACTGTTTTTTAAAAAAAGCAAGAGAAGATTTGAACATGAAGTAAAATCCCACATGTTTGCACCCAATTTTAACTTGTGGAGAAGAGTTTTTTAACATCCCTAAACCAAGAATCTGCAGAATGCCCTCCAAAAAATTTGGAGGCCAGGCAAAGCCCCCCTTTTACATATTGCTAAATTCATTTTGCAATAACTTGTAGTCAAGAACAGAAATTGCTCTGGGACAAGCAATCAAAAAAAAACCAAGCAACTCACAAGAACCCAATAACCTAAACAATGTTTGGGATTATTTCAGTTTTTGGACTAAACAAATGCTGAGGTGCATCAACAAACCCCCATTGCATTAAAATGCATAAAAATGGGTGTAAGGGTCTAGCAGGAGGAGAGAAATGGAGCCAGATGAAGGAAAAAGAATCTAAAATTTGAGGAAAGGAAAACCTATTTCTGTACATATAAAGATGAAACATCACCAGCAAATAGTCAGTGCAGGAAACGTATCCACACCGGCTATTTTCAGGTTTTGTGTGGTTTCTAAAAAAAAAACCCACATCACACCAATCGTGTTTTTTAGGCATATTCTGAAGCAGCTCTTGCTGCCAAGGTGACCATGGGCAGTTGGACTGATCCCACTGATGCCATGTATGACCTTACAGACTTGATACATTCATATTCATATATTTCTCTATCTGTTGCTGTGTCATTCTATGTGTCTGTATCTCTGTTTATCTGGGTTTGCCCTGGTTCTAGTACATAGCTGGGTGTGTATTTTCTATCCAGTGCCCAGAACTCCACCAAAAAGGAGGAGCCATGCACCTCAGTGTGGGTAACCTGCATCAGGACAGAGGAGATGGTTGATTTGATGCTGCAGAAGCACATTCCTGTTGGTGGGAGGCAATTTTGAGTTAAAAAGACTTGCAGTGCTCAAAACTCAACATTTCAACCTGGACACTTTTCCTCTATTTACATTTTCCTTATTTTGGTGGTTGTTTTTTTCTGGGTTTTGTTTTTCCTTTTTTTTTTAACACCACCCATTTGCCAGAAATTGGTGATGGCACAGCAGGGCTGAAAAGGCCAGTGGCATTAGCTATCATTAGAATAAGAGTCATGTATTCCTCGCTGCCAAGATGCACATAATTAGAAATTAGAAAAAGGTCAGATCTCACCATTATCAACTCAATCAGCTGCCGAGTGCCACACAGTCAATTAATTCAGCATCTGTATTTTTTACAACCCCGCGCACGTACGCCGTTGGACTGTAACTCTTTATCCGGACAGATATACGACGCAGCGGAGCAGGGACATAAAATGAGACCCTAAGCAAATGAGCTGAGATAATTGAGAGATTTATTTTTTTACATATATGTGTCAGGTCTTCTTGCCTTTGCCCTTGAATATTGACTTTCATGGCCGGTGAGCCCTGGGAGGATGCGGAAATCCTGGGCCCGACACCTCCACCTTGTGCTTTGCCTGTGTCAACTGCTGAGGAGGGGAAAATAAAAAGAAAAAAAAAAAAAAAAAGTAAAAAACAATAAAGGAAGCTAAATAAAAGATTTTTCCAGCCTCAACCCATCATCCTTGTTGTTCACCAACCAAAAATTCACTTTCTCTGTCGTGGAGCTGCCACAGGAGTTTGGCCCTGGATTTTTCAGGATGTTTCCCAACCATGGCAACTTGCAGTTTGTAAAGATGACCACTAAAATTTGCAAGTTAAAAACACTCTTTGAAATGCAAAGACGCTTTGTTACATAAAACCGGATTTATTGCCCCGGAGTGAATAGCTGAAATTTTATATATTATGCAAGATTTCAAACAGCGGCTGTAAAACTTAAGGTTTCAGCTCGGCGAGAGGAATGTTTTATGTGTAAATTTTTTAAGGTTTATGGGGTACGTTTTAATGAGGCCCAGGCTTTGCACCAGCAACAGCTCACGGCTGAGTTGCAGCCCCGTAATCTTGTTAGAAGAAGTGGTCTCCAGAGAATAACCAAACACTTTTCAACAACGAGGAGATTGGCTTGTACTCTTTTTTTGGGGCATGGGGAGCAATTCCCATGAAGGCAGTGGTGAATTTGGTGAATTTTTTCCTCTTGGATCTCGTCTGATTGATGGGCAAGGAAAAGGAATGCAGACATGCAGAGGGATGGGCTCTGAGATGGGTTTTGGGCAAGAATATTCATTTCTTGTGCATGTTGAGAAAGGAAATGAATTTCATTCTGCTGTAGGGGATCAATTCTACGTTAGATTTTGGGGGAGAATATTGATTTTACCTTTGTGCCCTTGTGCAGATGGTGAAGGCCATCCAGGTGCTGCGCATCCACCTCCTGGAGCTGGAGAAGGTCAATGAGTTGTGCAAGGACTTCTGCAACCGCTACATCACCTGCCTCAAAACCAAGATGCACAGTGACAACCTACTCAGGAACGACCTGGGGGGGCCCTACTCCCCCAACCCCTCCTCCATCAGCCTCCACCCCCAGGTAATGCCTTGAAATTCCTCTCCAATAACCATTGTTGCACTTTGGCCAACGGGGAGTTGCCAACAAGGCTTCAGACTTGCTCTACAAGAGCTGTGGCCTCCTGAAAAAGTGATCCCCAAGAATTAAAAAAAAATCCCGTGCCTTGCTCATAGAGTGCAATAAATGATGTTGTGGTGACTTTTTTCCCTTTATTTTGAATTTTTTAAGTCCTTTTTTGCATGTGTTGGCAGAGCTGCAACCCCAATGTTTGTGGCTCTGCAAGAGACTCCTAAACTCTAATGTTGCAGCAATTAAATGTGAGGGCAAGGGAGCTGTGCAAGTGTGTGGGAATAGAAACAAGAAAGTTGCATTTTTTAATGAAAAAAATTGTTGTTGGCAGGAAGGAGAGAAACATCAGGATTTTCTCTACTGTTTCTCTCTCACTTTTTGTTTTAAGGCAGCTCAAAGGATTTTTGGGTCTCAGGTAACTCTTTCTGGCTTCGCTGCTCCTTTTTGTGTCTCAGCAGATCTTGCAGTTCTCCCCCAGAATGATCAACATTCCCTTTGCTTCTTCTTTTGCGTAATTTGGATTTTAGCTGGGAGAAGAAGACAATTGGTGCCTCAAGGATAGTGGAAGAGTACAAGGAAATGCCTGAGAACTGCAGAAATATCACCTGAAGTAGCCAAAAGAAGTTGAACCTTGGTGGCTTTTGGGGCAAAATAAGGGATTGTAACTCAATATTCAGGAAAGAAGCTGCCCATGGGTTGGGGTTTTCATGTGCATCTGCAGTGCAGGGAATAAATCTTGGCTGCTTGCATCCCAAAAATCTTGATGCTAGATTGTGTTTCCCTAGGGCATTTCCCTCTCTCAGGCACTTGGCTTTTGGGGTAAAAAAGTAGAATTTAGGGTTGCGCAATCCCACCAGAAATAACTGCAGTGAACCCAAAATAACCCAGGCAGCTCCTGGAGCTCTCCCTAAAAAGGAGGCAGGTGGTGGGGCCTTTTTAGGGCTTTTGGGGCATTTTTAAGGTGGTGGAAAGGAAAATAATATCATTTTTCAGCAGCTCAGCTCCAGGTGCTGCAGAGTCTGAAGCTCCCAACATGATGAGGGAAAAGCCCCCCAGAAAAGTTCAGTTTTTTATTTAGGTTCCCTGAAAGCACCAAACCACTTAATCATTGATCTAAGAAACCCCATCCTCACTCTATATTCTAATAATCTCTAGAAATAGACTTATTATCCCTTCGCTGCTTTATGGAAGCATTCCTTATGATCAAAATTAGCAAGACACTTGCATAAAAGAGAACAATAATTGCTCAACGAGCATCTCGTTTGTAATTTATTAGTTTCTATTATTGTGCATTGCCATGGCAACAGCTCACATCCTGGGTGATGAGAGAGATGTTAGATATGAGCCGACAAAGCTCCCGGTCCCAGCAAATGGAGATGCACGTTTTTTATCAGTAATTTTCATGAAAATAATAAGTGAGGGAGTTAATGAGATGGAAAGCCGTCCTGTGGCTATTGTGAATTTTCCCCCCCTCCTTCCTTTTTTTTTTTTTTTTTTTAAGTGTTGATCTAATTAGAATGCATCGGTCAGGAAAAGTAATGAGGATTTAGTGTCTCACAAAGAGGTGGGGATCATATCAGAAAATTAGCACAAGTCTTTGGAAAATAATCAGGCCCATGGAGAGGTACCAAGAGCTTCTGATTCCTGGAAACCCAGAGCTGCTGCCATTTCCCTTCTGGGCCAGACTTGAAAGTTGAGGAATTCAAGTGAGGATTTGGAGGCAGTTGTGAAATAAATGGGAACACACCCAGGAAAGACCCAACTGGAGGGGAAATGTTGGCTCAGCCCCTGAGGGATTTTCAGCAGGTGGAGCTGAAATACTCACAGTGATGGCCCATGATGGAGTCACCATCTCATCTGGTCATGGGATAAGGATGACAGAGCAGTGACAACACAAAGGCAAATATTTTCCAACTACACCATGCCAAGTGCTTGAGTGCTTCAACTCATTGAGTCTACTTGAGTCAGCATGGATAAAAAAGGGTGGAAATGCTCCATATCCATCAGTTGAGTTTAGAGGCTAAGGATGCTCCAGAGAGCTGAAAAATCATGGGGTTGTTTAAAAATGGCAAGTGGGATCATTTCTCTAATTTTCAGCCTGTTGGTTTCATGCTGAGGGGAGGTGCAAGAGCAAATAGGCCATTAATTCAGGATTTAAAAAAAATCTAAATAATGAAATGTAATTAGTATCAATGAAGGAGATGTCCCAGCAAATAGGTTTTCTTAGGATTTGGAAAGAACGTCAACCATTTTGTGTTGAGATACACCAAGTTTGTCATGAAAGTGAAATATTTCAGGTTTTGGATAAGTTTTTTACCACAGGACATGTTAAAAAAAATTATAGGCACACAATAACAAGGATATCAACCAAAACTGGGAAAACAATGTCTGGACCTGTCAAAATGTCATCTCAACGGTGAATTTGGTGAATCTGTTGGATTTCCCTGGTGGATCCAAAAAGGATGGTCCTTTGCCTGCTGCTATTTCTGCTTTCTAAGATGGAAAATGCAAGAATTTTTGGAGGTGCAAAATGTCTGAGATGATGGGAAGATGAGAGAACACCCAGACAAGGTGTTTTGACTGTTGCTGAAATCTTCTTATGTTGCCAGATGATTCCTGGTTTTGGCCAAGTTTGGGTGACGAGTCTGGAGCTTTCCCATGTGATGAGTCTTCCCTGAACTTTCATTACCAAAGATTTTTGTACCCTCTTTTCTCCATTGCTTCCTCATTTTGTGCTTTGCTTTGTCCTGTGATTGGATCATTTCCTCTTTGTCCTGCAAGTCCACCAAGCAATCAATTCCTCTTCTATTTTTGTTGGTTGATTTTCACTTGGCTTCATTCTTCTACCTCAAGTCCTCATTGGGCCCTTTTTAGCCCACTCCCTTTATTTAATGAGTATTTTTGAGCTGTTTCTGACCAGGATGGGAGAGGGGAGGTCCTTCTTTTGTGGAAGAGGGAGGAAACCAATTTAAATCAATGTTTAATTTCAATTTTCCTTTGACATCAAAGGTGTCCTCACTGTTCTCCACTTGCAAGAAAAAAACAGTTGCAAAACCAATCACATTGGGAAGCCCAGTGCTGCCAGGGACATTTAAATGGAATCAAATTTTGGTTTTTCCAGCTCTCATTTCAAATTGGCAGTGTTTGAATGGGCATTTTCAGGACAGCATTTCTCCTTCTCAGATTAGTTCTCCACAGAATTGTATTTTGGTGTGGGTTGGAGGAGACCCTAAAGCCCAACACCCTGACAAGGGCAGGGACCCTTCCACTGGCCCAAGCTGCTGTGGCTGGAGGTGGACAGTTGCTTTGGTGGGACTCAGTGCAATTCTTCTCTATATAGATCTTAATTTATCCAAGTTTGCCCTGAGAGCAGCCCTGCATTCCTCTTTATTTAAAGCCAACTTTTTTCTCATCTCCTTGCACACATCCCTTCACAAAGGAGCCTTATGAATTATCTTGCATGCCTTTGAGTTTGGCCATCTCTTTCTTGGCAAACCCATGGGTTTCTTTTTTTTTTTTTTTTTTTTTTTTCTCCAGCTAATTCCAAATATCCCCCAGCACAAGTAATATTCAGAGTTAGGATGAGACAGATTTTGACACGTGGTGTACCACCCACAAATGAATGTCTGTGTCACAAAGCACAATGACAAGGACAGCAGCTCAAGTAGCACTGAATTTTAGCACTTTCTTACAATTTGGCACTTGGACATTTTCCTTATTGTAAGAAAGGGCTTTTTTTGTGTCATGTCCCAGATATTTTGCTTCATTGAAGTGACTTTTAATTCAGAGAAATCTTGTTTTGCTGTTGATCAGGGCTGAGATGTGGGTCTGCAGAGACACCTAGTGATGCATTTGTTTCCACACTCAGATTTCAGAATTGCCAAAAGCATTTCAACCTGAGGGTGCTGCAGCACCAGCACAGGTGCCCAGAGCAGCTGGGGCTGCCCCTGGATCCCTGGAATGCCCAAGGCCAGGCTGGGCAGGGCTTGGAGCAGCCTGGGACAGGGGAAGGTGTCCCTGCCCATGACAGGGGGTGGAGCAGGATGAGCTTTAAGGTCCCTTCCAACCCAAACCATTCTGTGATTCCATTGACTTCCTTGAGTCTCAAAATATAAAATATATAAAATATTTTCCACTGCAGAACAGAACAGCCTAGCAGAATTTGGCTGACATTTGCAATCTGAGGCAATTGGTATGCAAAATATATTTTTTAAAATCTTCTTGGAGATATCTCTCTATATTTATTTGAAGGTGGAGCCTCCACTTCCATTGGGTCACTTTGGTTTCATCAAAGTTCTGTTGCAGAAAGAACATTAATTCCTTTAATAGCTCTTTCTAATAATTGCCAATATTCTGCCTTTTTGGACACCAGTGAGATGGTGTTGGGAGAGTTTTCCTCTACACCACAAAAACAATGGCAATTTTTATCATCACAAAATACTGTTGAAAATGGCTTTGACCACTATATCTGGAAACAGCAATTCCTTATTCCCATTTTCTGATATTCCAAATTGCTTTTTCCCAACACACTTCCAAAAATGGTGTTCTGGATGCCCTTCTTTAGGAAGAATCCTGGAAAAACAAGGCAGGGGAGGAAATCTAGAGCTCTTCAAGCTGCTCCAAACTTTGGTTGCACCTGGAAATCTCCAGCTGCTTTTTGGTGTTCTCCTGGACCACATTTGGTTTTTTATGAATATTTCCACCGTGTTTGGACCACATTTGGTTTTTTATGAATATTTCCACCATGTTCATCAGCTGGATCCTTTGCCAGGGCCAAATCCAAGAGTGTGCAGAAGAGACTGATTTTTGCTCTCTATATCCTGAGAGATATTCATTTCTCAAACTGAAAACTACATCCCCCAGAAGACTGGAGGTGGGGAAGGAATACTAAAAAAAAGTCCAAGTATTTGACAGTCCTATTTGCATTTTTAAAATTAATTCAGCTGTGGAAAGGAATGTCTGGGAATCGAATGAAAAATTCACAGCAATTGCAGCAAAATTTCCAGATAAGAAAAATAACAGAAGTAACTTTTGGCAGAGGCATTGGGTCCAACATTTTGGAAATGGCATCACAGGAGGGGAAAGTGCCACGAGGGGGTTTTAACAGCAAAAGCCTGACATTTATTGAGAAGATGGCACAGGCAAAGTGATGGTGATTGGTGGGGGAAAAGTTACATAATGTGATGGGGAGAAGGGGAAAAAGGAACAGACCCCAGGTTCCCCCCCAGCAATGGGAAATGCATTGAAGGGGACACAGAGCACCCCAACTCCCCAGGGGACAGCACAGCCAGGTCTGATGTGACATGGGTGGGTTTGGTGCATTCAGAGTCCATCTCTGGAGAAAGGGGGCTGCAGCCTTCCCCACCCTGAGCACATTTCCTTGGTTGGCTTTTCCAGTATCATTGCACATTACTAATCCAGGGAAGTTCTCTTTCCTTAGCCCAAATGATAGGATTCTTGAAGAAATGCATCAAAATGGAGGGAAAATGAATTAAAAGGTGAATAAAATCCTCGTTGTTGACATTATGTTCAACACTTGAGAACTAGCTGGACACCAGGGAAGTGGTGCAAAATGGGAAAGTCAGCAGTAAAACTGCACAAAAAAAGTGCAGTTTTATTTCTATTCCACTTAGGTGAATTATAGACATGTAGTTGTCTTTGGTTTATTTTAAAATGATCATTTAATCGATATTACCAATATTATTTGCAAAATTCTGCCCATGTGGAAGCTTGGAATACATTGCCCTGTATTCCCCTGTAGCCTCAATTGTGGCACTCCTCCCTTCCCAAAATGTCACATTAAATACTCAAATAGTCATTTAAATATCAAAATAAATAATCAAATAATCATCACATTTGGGGTCTTTTGGTGGTTGCTCCAGAGATGGACCTTAAAGTAAAATTACAGCTTTTGACTCAAAAAAATTGCCCATTTTTGCAAGAAATTAGCTTAAAGCTTCAAGAAATGATATCAATAGGGTCATATTATTATTAACTTCATTATTTTACTCTAAGGTAAACTGTGGTGCTCAGCCTGAATTTTAGCAAAGGTTGCATCACCCAGTCCCAGTCAAAGCACCAAAAAAAGAGAAATGTTAAGAAAGAAAAAGATAAAATAAATTCCTTTTGGTCCCTCATGATCTTTTTATTTCCTTTCATATTTTTTTATGGAGAAGAATGACTGTACAAAGGAAACAAGTCTGGTGAAGATGCTAAATGGGGGCTTTGCAGAGCATAAACCTTTATTTTTCCATCTTTTTATTTGCACTTGCAACAAACTGAAAAATCCCATTTCCTGCCACTTTTCCCCATCGAACCACCAATAAAAATAAAAAAAAAATTAGAGGGGAACAAAAAAGGAAACTTTCAGGCTGAAATGGGTGTGTTTGGTGTTTTGTTTTGTGCAGGAGATGCTGCAGAAAACAATTTCCTGCCATTTTTCCTGTCGAACCACCAAAATAAAAAAAAAACCAAAAAACCCAAAAAAAAAAATTTGGGGTGGGACAACAAATGAAACTTTCAGGCTGCAATTCAATTGAGTGTTTGGTGTTTTGTTTTGTGCAGGAGATGCTGCAGAAAAAAAATTCCTGCCATTTTTCCTGTTGAACCACCAAAATAAATAAAAAAAAATTTAGGGGGGACAACAAATGAAACTTTCAGGCTGAAATGGGTGTGTTTGGTGTTTTGTTTTGTGCAGGAGATGCTGCAGAAAAAAAATTCCTGCCATTTTTCCCGTCCAACCACCAAAATAAAAAAAAAAAAAATTTGGGGGGGGACAACAAATGAAACTTTCAGGCTGCAATTCAATTGACGTGTTTGGTGTTTTGTTTTGTGCAGGAGATGCTGCAGAGCTCCCCAGCAGCGCTGCCGCCGGCCTCCAACCCCCCTGCGGGCATCGTGGTGCCCGCGGCCACTCTGCCCCCTGGCAACCTGGCCATGGGCACCGGCAGCAGCTCGCCCGCCGTGCCAGGTATGCAGAGCAGGGCAGGTGTGGGCAGGGCCACTCTGGGGGTTTGGGTACCCCCACACGTGTTTTTTGCCATAGGTGGAGCCTTGTACCAGCCCGTGACCATGGTGACGTCGCAGGGCCAGGTGCTCGCCCAGGCCATCACCCCTGGTGCCCTGCAGATCCCCAATGCCCAGGTAAGGCCTTGCCAGCTCCAGGCTGGCACTGCAGCAGGCAGAACCCCCCCATTTCTCCATAAATTCAATCCTTGGAGGGTCTTAAATTTTTAATTAGCAAGAAACGCTGATTGAACCCATCTGCCAGGTGCCTTTGGGGTGCCTAACAAATTATAGCAATGAGCTAAGAAGTTATAACAGTGCTTATATTATTGTTATAAAATATTACAACATATAATAATAATGTACGTAATATTATTTAGTGCAATATATAACATGTAACAATAGCTGTTATTTGTAAAGTATGAAAGAACATGGTATTTTATTCTGTAGGCTTTATTATATATGTGTGTATATATATACATATATACTGTGCACTGTACATATTGCATATTCTATACTCTATATTAATAATTATATATAGGATAGGATATTAGATAGATAGATAGATAGATAGATAGATAGATAGATAGATATTATGGATGATATTGCTGATATTATTGCTGATATCTATCTATAAATCTATCTATAAATCTATCTATATATCTATATATCTATATATCTACATATCTATTATCTAATCTATCTATCTATCTATCTATAAAAATAGATATTATTGCTGATATATTATAGATCTGGGGTCCCTGGCATTGCCTGTCCAGCACAGCAGTCATGGTACTTGTGGGAAAGGCTCATTTTTAGGTCTTCCTTTCTGAATTTGGGGATATTTTTCAGCCATTTGCTCTGGTTTTATTCCTTTTTTTTTTTTTTTCCTGACATTGCAATGAGTTATGCAATGATCCCTGCATTCTTGCAGTGAGACAATGATTTGGAGCAGAGCTGGATTTATTAGCACAGCTTGTCCATGAGCTCTTCCCAACCCCAGGAACTTGGAAAAAAAAAATAAAAACAAACCTTCAATTTCTGTAATGCTGCTTCCTGGGGGACAGAGCAGCAGAAATTCACCCCCATTATTCCTGAAATGCCCCATTTTAATTGCAGGAGCCTCTTATCAAACAATCAATAAACAGCATTTTGAAAAGAGGTGCCACCTCCCTGTCAGGATTTTTTTTTTTTGCCTGTGCAATGCTTAAAAATTCTCTTTCTATAATATCTCTCCATTGCAGGTTTAAATCTTGCAGCAAAACCCTCTGTGGTGGGAAAAACATGTGCACAGGGAATATTGGGGCAGGGAGAGAGCTTGGACAAGCACCTTTGGATGCTCTTCCTGTGCCACTGGCATGATTTATTCAGCTGCAGCCCAGGGGAATCACAGGGACCTGCTGGCCTGATGTTTAATTCATCCAGGAGAAGTGTTTTGATGAAGACTTGGGGAAAAAAAAATCCCTTTTTAACTCAAGTGCTTAGATTTCAGTTTGGTTCCTGAATCCTCATTAAAACTCCTCTTGCAGCAAGATGCTTCTTTTTCATTTCTGGGGGGCAAAAAAGCAAATTTTGGCTCAATGGGCATGTCTCTCCTTGTGGTGGAAATCAGCTGGGTGAGGAATATGGGTTTGCAAGGGCTTGGTGATTGGCAGGGTTTTTTTAACTTTCATTTGAGAAAATATCTTTTTATGAGGTTTGGGGGATTTTTAATATTTTTTTTTTCAGGTAAAAGTGTTTTCCTCCTAAAGCACACATTGAAATTGGCCATGGTGTCATCACTACACTCCCCAACAGTGCCATTACCCCTTGCAAAGCATTGACAAAAAAAAAAAATTGAGATAAAAAATACAGATCCTGGGAGAAATCTGCATTTATGCAGATTTGGTGGAGCAGGAAATGGTGTTTGGACGCTCCTATAAGTGCCAGGTTTTTTTCACTCATCCCACTCCCATTTTGCTCATTTTTTTGGGTTGCCCATCACCATGTTCAAGCAATTCTGTCCCCATTCCTTTTGCCCTGACAGGTGAACCTGGATCTCACCTCCCTCCTTGATGGTGAGGACAAGAAGTCCAAGAACAAGCGGGGGGTCCTGCCCAAACACGCCACCAACATCATGCGCTCATGGCTCTTCCAGCATCTCATGGTGAGCACCTCAGCCACCAAAACACCCTGAAAGATGGGGAAAAAAGGACAAAAAGTCCAGAAATTCTCAAATCCAGGTGGTGGTTTGTCTGAATTTGTGTTTGGAGGTGCAGAGTGGTTTGTATTTTGGGAGTATTTTGGGAATTACCATTGTCACTGCAGGTAGGAAAAAAATATTCTCTTAAGGCAGGAAGAAGCACACAAATCTAGATGGGGACTCCTGGGACTTTTTGAAGATGGATAATTGAGCGTTTTTTTGCATTAACAGCTCCAAAATATCCTTTTCTAGCAAGCTGGAATGTGAGAGCTGCTCACAGGTAGGGTTGTAGCACGTCAGCCGCCAGACAAAACACAGAATTGCAAAGTCACCCTGATTTGGGGCATTGGAGATGGAAGATGGAGGGAGCTTAGATGCAAACTGGATATTTTTGTGCATGAAGAGTTCTCTCTCATCAGCAGGGCTGGGAGAAGGGCAAAAAGCCAAAAATCCCATATTTTTTCCTGCATAATTCAGCCAAGAAATCACTTGGAAACTGGTAGCAAAGGCTGGCTCTCCAGGCAGACAGAGTGCTGGGAGATCCCCAAGGCACCAGTAATGCAGGAGGTAACAGCTCCAAGAAGCAACTTGTGGAAAAATCAGCCAGGACATGAAGCAGCAGCAGAACTTCCCAGCCTTTTTTTTTTTTTTTTTTGATGGAAAATTCTGGATTTATTGCAATGAAGACAAGAGAGTTGCTGTGATGTGCATCTCCCATATTTCTGGAGGGTACAACTGCAGATTTGTGGGCTCAAAAAGGATTTTAAAGACCTGAAATTGCAAAGCAGTTTTCTGCCAAGTGCTAGGAGAAACCCATAGTTTAAGATTTCCAAAAGGGAATTGAAAATCTGCAAAAAATTCTTCTGCTGGATGGTTGGATCTTTGCTCACAGCCCGGTCCTTGTGGTCAGAAGAAATTTGGGCTTCCCCGTGAGATTTCTCCATCTGCTGTCAGAGATGATGTGGTTTTTAACCAAAAATTCTCATCATTTTACTGGAAGTTTTGGAGCACCAGCAGGAGGAAAGAATGCTGGAAATAATACACCAAAACCAGGATATTTCTGCCCCCAAAATTGCCATTTTTAACCACTGAGGCCCCAGTGGGAAGTGAATCTTCAGTGTGCATTGACTTTGGGTGGTGTTGTCAAGGAAATCACAGTTTTGGGGCTAACAGCTGAAAAACAAGTTGTGGTAATTGTCACTGGCTTGGGGCTCCAAAACATGGCTTTGATAATAATTTAATTTCTGGGGTTGGAAAAGAGCACTTTAGCACAGTTGGAAGGAGGTTGCTCAAACTTTCAGTGCTGGTGGTTCAGTGCAGATGTTTCAGGGTGTTTCGTTGATGCCTCTGACAATAAAGCAGCAAAAAGAGCAAAAAGCTGCTTTTGAAGCACAAATCTCATGTTTACCAACAGCCATCACTGGAAAATTCCTAGAATTAAAAAAACCCCAAGAACATTTTCCTTCAAGGAAAGCATTTGATGGAAAGCCTTGGCAAAACCCTAAGTGCCCTAAGCCCTAAGGAAATCTTGATGGTCTTGGATGCCACCCTTCAAATTCATTCAGCAAATGCAAGAAGCCACCAAATTTGGGGGGTGGGGGTGGGGAGAGCAGGTTTTCATTATTTTTCACTCAGGGATGACATCTTGCATGCAGGGATGCAATCTTGCTACCCCATCTCTCTTTTTTTCCAGCACCCCTACCCCACAGAGGATGAGAAGAGGCAAATTGCTGCCCAAACCAACCTGACCCTCTTGCAAGTCAACAACTGGTGAGCAGATACTGGTGGCCCACTCGGTCATTTTTCTGGCTTTAGGATCTTTTCCACCCTGTTTTGGTGCTGTATGATGCTTTTTTGTGGAGTAACTTGGGTAGTTAAGGCTGATTCTTGGGGTGTCCTGCACGGGGCCAGGAGCTGGACTCAGTGATCCTGGTGAGTCCTTCCAACTCAGCCTATTCTGTGATTTTGTGACTCTGGGATTTCTGGGAGATGACCTCAGTGGTGTTTAGTGTCAGCAAGGTTTGCAAGGTCTCAGTGCCCTCTCCTGGCAAATCCAATGTGCAGCATTCTCCCAACTCAGCAGGAAAAATTAATGCAGAGCAATAATGTGACTGTCTCAGTTTGGAAAGCCAGGTGGCTGCCAAGGAAGGCAGGAGCCTCCCCTGAAATGGACAATGTGAGCCCTCCCCACCCCTCTGAATTGCTATAAAATTTAAATTAAGGGGTTCTCAGGCAAAAAATATGGGAGCAGGAAATAACAGTTCTTTAATAGAGAAGAAAATAAAAGGATAAAATAAACAATGCAGTGAACTAAACCAACAGTGCCAGAGTCAGAACCCAGCCTGACACCCTGTGGGTCAGGGTGCTGGCAGCAGAACCATTGGAATTGTGGCTCAGCCCTCCTGCAGTGTCAGGGCTGGTTCTGCTGGAGCAGGGATCCTGGAGAGAGGTGCAGTCTCTGCCTCTGAAGATCCAGGGCAAGAGGCAGCTGCTGTTCCTCTGGGCAATCCAGTGCAGAAGCCGTGCTGGTGTTCCAGAATCTCCAGATTATATCCAGGTAGGAATGCTTGGCTGGTGTTCCAGAATCTCCAGATTATATCCAGGTAGGAATGCTTGGCTGGTGTTCCAGAATCTCCAGATTATATCCAGGCAGGAATGCTTGGCTGGTGTTCCAGAATCTCCAGGTTATATCCAGGCAGGAATGCTTGGCTGGTGTTCCAGAATCTCCAGATTATATCCAGGTAGGAATGCTTGGCTCCTCCCTCTGGGCTCACATCTCCCAATGGGATGCTGTAGTTCTTATCAGCCATGCAGGGACATTCAATAGCTGTTATCAGCAGATGTCTCCCCAGAGGGAGGAGTGGGTGTGGCAGAGATAAGGCAAACTGCCCACTTGACAAAAGACAACTGCCCTAGAGATGGGAATAGAATACATCTTGCCTTGCAATCTGGGACAGTGGCACAGGCAAATAAACAAACCCCCAGCTTTTTGAACCATGAAGCTGCTTTCCTAACGTGTTGTTGTTATTATTATTATTATGTTGCCACCCATTTATTTGCCATAGCGTTGCTTTGACTCGGTGTTGGTGTAACGGCTCTCACTCACTGCACTGCTCTCTCTTTCCCATGGGAAGGTTCATAAACGCCCGGCGGCGCATCCTGCAGCCCATGCTGGACGCCAGCAACCCGGACCCAGCCCCCAAAGCCAAGAAAATCAAATCCCAGCACCGGCCCACGCAGCGGTTCTGGCCCAACTCCATCGCCGCCGGCGTCCTGCAGCAGCAGGGGGGCAATGCAGGGACAAACCCTGACGGTAAGGACAAGCCCCAGTGGCCCCTGCTCTTTTAGGCCATGCATTAATTATGGCCTTAATTGATGATTTCTAGAGGCCTTTATTGAGCTGTGGGGAAAGACAAGAGGTGGTCCTTGCGAGAATGTCCTTCCAGTTGGCCACCAGGATGATGATCACCCACTGTGGGGCATGGCCTGGGTCATCTCCTGAGGAGCTGGGGAAGGGAGGGAGGGAGGGGAGATGTGGAAAGGTGGAGATGAGAAGACAGATTGAGACAAAATAGGAAGAGAGAAGATGAAGAGAAAATAGATGAAAATGAAGAGGAGAATAGAGAAGGTGATGACAATGAAAAGAGATAATGAATGAAGAACAGATGAGGACAATGAAGAGAGAAGATGAAGAGAAAATAGATGATGAAAATGAAGAGAAGAATAGAGAAGATGAAGATGATGAAGAGAGACAATGAACAAACAATAGATGAGGAAAATGAAAGGAGAAGATGAAGAGAAGGAGAAGAGAGCAGAAATGAACACACACAGGACGAGATGAAGAGAAGGAAAGGTAGGACTTGAGAGAAGATGGAGAGAAGATCTGCCCAACCAATTTGGGCATCTACTTGCTCAGAACTAAGGATTCTTGATATTTAATGATGCATTAGCTTAAAAAAATTAAGGATTGGACCTTAGGGAGTGACTGGGGTAGGTGGGACACCCTATGGTGAAGCTCTCCAAGCTTTTCACTTGAGTTATTCTTGGTTTATGCACTTCTTTTGTCCTTTCTGTGTTAGCTGGGGAGTCCTTATTTCTGTGCTTTTAATTCCAGGCTCGCTCAGCATGGACAACCTCCAGCCCCTCTCATCAGCCACTGCCACCATGGCCATGCAGCAGGCAATGCTGGCAGCCCATGACGACTCCCTGGATGGCACCGAGGAAGAGGAGGAGGATGAGGAGGATGAGGACGAGATGGAGGAGGAGGAGGAAGAGGAGGAAGAGCTGGAGGAAGAGCCTGGTGGCCTCCCAGCGGCACCTGGTGCTGACCTTGGTTTGGACCACAGTGACTCACTGGAATAGCTCCTCCTGCACCCTCACAAATCATTGACAGCACCAGATACAAAATTCCCCCCAAAATGCAAAAAAAAATAAAGGCAAGAAGAAGAAATTAGTGAGCAAAAAGCAAACTGGCAGTGCTGGCAGAGGCCCTGGCTGCCCCAGGAGCACAGGGACCACCATGGCAGCGCCCAGGAGTGGACACACGTTTACAAGGCACATATTGTGGCCAGATGAATCTTTTCTTTCAGGTTTTGTTTTTCTTTTTCCCTTCATTTTTTGGTAAGCAAAAGCATTTTTAGGGAAAGTTGTTTTCCCCACGTGACGCTCGGATGCTGGTGGGCAGTGGTGGGTGGGCCACTGCATCCATCCCTTGGATTTCTTGGTGCAAAGAAAAGCCAAACCAACCCTAGGACTTGATGCTTTTTGGATTTTTCCCTCAGAAAGGTCATTCACAGGCATAAATACTGGCATGGAGGGGGAAGAAAAATAATCAGCGAGTGCAAATTCTGCTATATCCAAGGAGGGTTTGGTGCTTGACTCATGGGATTGCCCAAACCTCCCAACTTTGGCCCCAGTGCTGAGGCTGCTTGGTGACTCTGGACACAACTTTCTGGAAAAGGGAGGAAATTCCTCCAAATCCTTTAATTTATGTGCTAAAACCTCTGCTGAATCTGGAAAAAATCCAACTCACCCCATTCTCATCCTTAAGGGCCGAGATTGGAGGCAGAGTTGGGGCAAAGGCTGCCGGAAGTAAAACTTTTCCAAAGGCATTTTGGCACAGAGTTAGTTAAAAATGGGGGGAAATTGGTTTAAAAAAACTCGAGATTTCACCCAAAATTGAATGGCGATGGGCAAGACTCGCCTGGGTGGAAGGAAACTAAGTATTGTTGCTTAAAAGATGATTTCTCCCTGGTATTGTCCCTCCACATGGCAAAATGGTGGAGCTGTAGCCCCATGGGGGAAGGCAACTGCCAAAAACCCTGTATTTTGGGTTTTTTTAATTTTAAATGCTAGCAAAAGGGTGGATTCGCCTTAAAATGTGGCATGGGAGGAAATGCAAAAGCAAACCAGGGCAAAAATAAAGGAATTGTTTTCTGCAGGTTCCTGCTCTAAATGTGAGATTCTAGGAGAAGGATCATTTTCTTGGAGGCTCTTTGCCCATATTGTCCTTTTTTTTCCCTGGCTCTTGAAGAGTTGACCAAAAGCAGCTGAACAAGAGCTGGGATAAAAAACACAAGTGATGCAATGGGCAGAAATGCCTATTTTTGGATACTGATCTGGCGTGAATGTAATCTGTAATTTCATAAAGGATTCATTGTAATTTAGTATTAATTCCTGGCCATTTATTATAAAGTGCTACAAGATGAGGGGTCGCACCTGTATTTTCTTGGCAGCTTCTTCCTTTGAGTGGAGAAGACCCAAAATGCAGGAATAACCCCCCAAAGTGGGCAAAACTCCCCTCATAAAACTAATTTACCTCCAAAATGGGTGCATGGATCCAAATTGGTAATTGAGTGATGTGGACAAAATTAGATTTATACTTCCTAAACTCATTGGTCCACCAAAAATGAAAATTTCCCCCCTCAAGCTCCAGTGAGATTTTGCCCACTAATGAATGATGCACACCCCAAAATGAGCTGTTCTCTCCAAAAATGAGTGATTCTCCCCCAGAAGCTCCCCCAAAGACAACCCCAAAATGAGTGATGGTTTCCAAAAACGAGAGATGCTCCTCAGAATCAAATGGTGACCCAAAAGGGTCTAATTTCTCCCTGAAATGAGTGATTTTCCCCCAAAATGGGTGCTCACCCCAAAAGGAATTGTATTCTCCAAAAATTCTCCCCAAAATGAGTGACATGCCCCCAAAGAATGCTGTCCCAAACTGGTCCTTCTGGAAATGAGTAACTTCTCTCAAAATGACTGAATTTGCCCCAAAATGGACAACACTCTCCAAAAATGAGCAACAACCCCCAAATTAGGCACTCTTCCCCAGAATGAGTGACAAACCCCAAAACAGAGCAATTCTCCCCTAAACAATGGAAACCCCCCTGTCCCTTAATGAGCCATTCCTTAATAATGGGTTGATTTTCTGGGTGATGTTTGCACAATTTTTAGCAGAAAATGGGGTCACAGAAAAGTGAAAAAATGTGAAAAATCCCCAAGAATGGAATTTAATCTGAATTTTGCCCCTCTGATGGTGGCAGCTGCAGCCAGCAGCTCGTTTGCCAGAAGTTTGTGTTTTTTAGAGATCCCAAAATATTCATGAGCTAAGTCTATGTTGGGATTCTTTTGCTTAAAAACATCATTTTCCTATCAAAAAGTTGCAAAGCACCGCCAGGAGCAAGGGGAGACACAGACACTGGACACCAGCTGCCTAATTAATGGAAGGAATTCTTTATTCCCAGCTGTGCAAAGGGGGAAGTGCAGGGTGGGGCAGCCACGGGGGCGTTGTCCCTTTTTCCTGGGGTTTGGCCCCGTTTGGAGGCGCCGGGGTGGGAGTGTGGGGGCAGCACCGCGTCAGGTCGGGCAGAGCACTGCAGAGAGAGAGAGAGAGAGAGAGGGGGTCTGGGGCACTGCAGGGGCACCGAGGGTGCAGAGAGGCAGCAGAGAGCACAGGGATGCACAGGGGGTGGGGGGAAGCATGGAGGGACATTGGAATGCAGGAGGATGCAGGAGGATGCACTGGAATGCAGGAGGATGCACAGGGATGCACAAGGAGGCATTGGAATACAGGAGGATGCACAGGGATGCAGGAGGATGCAGGAGGATGCACAGGGATGCAGGAGGATGCAGGAGGATGCACAGGGATGCAGGAGGATGCACTGAAATGCATGAGCAAGCACAGGGATGCACAGGGGGGTGGGGGGAAGCATGGAGGTGCATTGGAATGCAGGAGGATGCATAGGGATGCACAGGGATGCAGGAGGATGCACAGGGATGCACTGGGATGCAGGAGGATGCAGGAGGATGCGTTGGAATGCAGGAGGATGCACAGGGATGCAGGAGGAGGCATTGGAATGCAGGAGGATGCAGGAGGATGCATTGGACTGCAGGAGGATGCACAGGGATACGTGAGAAGGTGCTATGATCCATGAGCAAGCACAAGGATGCACAAAGATGCAGGAGAATGCACAAATGTGCATGGGGATGCATTGGAGTGCATGCAGATGCACAAGGATGCAGGAGGATGCATTGGAATGCATGAAGGTGCACTGGAATGCAGGAGAATGCTCTGTGATCCATGAGCATGCACAGGGATGCAGGAGGATGCAATGGAATGCAGGAGGATGCAGGAGGATGCAGAAGAATGCACAATGCAATGCTGCACAAAGGTGCACAGTGACACACAGGGCTGCACTGGGCTGCACCTGCATGGACTGGGGTGCCCAGGGGTGGCCAGGGGTTGCACAAGGACAGAGGAGTGAGCACAGGGACAGCCAGGAGGGCAAGGACACACACAGGGACAGCCAGGAGGGCACAGGGACAGAGGAGTGAGCACAGGGACAGCCAGGAGGGCACAGGGACAGAGGAGTGAGCCCCATGTGCACAAGGGTTCAGGAGCAGAAAGGCTGCACGAGTGTGAATGAGGCATTTGGGCACATGAGGATGCAGAGATGCTGCAGGAGGCTGCAGATGGGATGCAGGAGGAACAGGAAAGGGATGCACAAGGGATGCACACACACAGCAGTGCACAGGAGGAGATGAAGGACACACGAGGACTCAGGAGGATGCACAAGAGATGGACAAGAGGGGGGTGGGAGATGCACAGGGGTGCACAAGGATGCCCAGGAGATCCCAGATGGTTGGGGATGCCCAAGGGAGGCAGAGGAGGGTGCCTGATGGGGTGGGGGGGTGAGGGAGGTGCACAGAGGGTGATGAGGCTGTGTGGATGAAGCAGATGGGCCCCAGGATGGGGCAGGAAGCTGCACAGGCACCTCAGAGACAGAGACAGCTGTCTGAGGACAGAGAGCTGCACAAAGAATGCCTGAGGGATGTGTGCAGGGTGCAGCAGAGATGCAGGAGGGATGCAGGAGGAATGGCACAGGATTTATCTGGGATTCTCCAAGGATGCACAGGGGATGCAAAAGGGATGAATGAGGTTGCAAGAGGGATGGGCAAGGGATGCACAAAGGATGCAGGGGAGAGGCAGGAGGGTGCAGAAGGGATCTGGGCTGGGGGCACAGAGCTGCAGAGGAGCTGAGTGAAGGAGGCACGAGGGTGCCTGGGGCAGGCAGGGCAGGGGGGAGCAGGTACCTTTGAGGATGTAATCCGTGAGCAGAGTGGGCACCTTCTCATTCCCCTCCTTCATGGCAAACAGGACTGTGAGGGAGAACAAGGCTGGGAGCCTGGCTCTGCTGCCCCCAAATGTCCCTTTTCCCCCCCAAACCAGCCCCACAGTTGCCATACAATTTCCCCATACAATTTATGGGGCAGCAGGCCTGGGAACACCCACACAAACAGGACCAATTTCCATCCCCATTAGCCAACCTGTGGCAGTGCAGAATGGGTGATTTACCCCAAACCAACCTGGTATAGGGAGAATAAACTGGGGGGAGGTGCTGGCTGCCAACCAGCTGTGCTGCAGTGATGCAAGCAGGGATTTTCCCCACCAGGTGGGTTTATTGCAATGATGATGCAACCTGGGTGGTAGCACCTTAAACTGCCCATGCTGCAAGGATGCAAAAAATCCCCCAAACTGCAGCCACTGAAGCAAAGCAAAAGGTGCCTTTGTGTCCCCAAAACATGTGATGGTGACCCAAAGCAGCAGCTTGAATGAATACTCACTGTTGGTGAGCATCTGCAGGTCCTCAACGGAGGGTGGTGAGCCCTTCTTCTCATAGGGAATCACCGTGTTCAGGTACTGCAAAAACAAAAGCCACCCCAAAAAACCACCCAGATGGCACAAAGCTGCCTGGTTTCTGCATTGTCTTGAGACAAATTTGCACAAAAATAGAGTATTTCTGCAAAATTCCTGCAATTGCATTTAATTTGCAGGTATTTTGGGGAGTGCTGAACTAACTGGGTTCTGCTGCAAACTCCACCCAAATCCATCCCTCCTCAGGAGGACTTTTTGGGGTGAAAACAGGTAATTTTTTTCAAGAGGGGTTACCAGGGTGTAGGGGATGGAGCAGGGTTGTAAAATGAAGAAAGATTTTAACAGGGGGTTGGGGGATGCAGGGGAATGGGGAGAGCAGGGAGGAGGAGTGAAAGCAAACAGATTTGGGCAATTTTGGGGGTCAAAAAGGGCACCTGCTTCTCGTTGGTGGTAGGGCCAAAGGTCTGGCGCAGGCCGGAGTGCAGGATGCTGGAGATGCCCTCCATGCTGAAGCGCTGGGGGGACAAGCAGGTGTCACCTGTCACCTCCCAGGGCAGCAACGTCACTTGTGGCACCTCCCCTGCCACCAGCATCCCCCACAACCCCCTGCCTCCCACACCCACACCCTGCCCAGATCCCAGCACCCTGCTCCATACCCCCATCCCATAATATCCCTTTGTGTCCCTGCTCCAAGCGCCCCTGTCCCTATCCTGTGTCCTTCCCATGCCCTGTCCCATGCCCCTCTGCCCCATCCTGTCGCTATTCCCATGCCATGCCATGCCATGCCATGCCATTGTCCCATCCCATCCCATGGATCTCATTATCCCATCCCGTTATCCCAACCTATCCCATCCTATCCATTGCCTTGCCCCATGTCCCTCTGCCCCACCCTGTCGCTATTCCCATCCCATCCCATTATCCCATCCCATCCCACCCCATCCCATCCATCCCTCATGCCCTTGCCCCCCCTTGCCCCCAGCTCCCCCCTGAGCCCCGTGCCGCCCCGCTCCTGTCCGTGCCCACCTTTCGGGGCATGTTCCCGCCGCGCTCGGAGCGCGCCCCTTGCAGGCTCAGCCCCTTGTCCCTGCGGCGGCGCCGGGCGGCCTCTCGCTGCTCCCGCTGCTCGCCCTGCACGGCCAGCAGCGCCCCGATGAACGCCGTCTTCACCTCCTTCTCGAAGGCCAGCTCGTCCCGCCGCGCCAGCTGCGCCACCAGCTCCGCCGAGAGCGCCCGGCTCGCAGCCTCCGCCCGGCCCGCGGCCGCCAGCAGCTCCCGCGCCGACAGCCGCCCCAGCCCTGCCCGGCACAGAGCCCTGGTGTCCCGGGGTATCCCAACAGCCGCCCCAGCCCTGCCCGGCACAGAGCCCTGGTGTCCCGGGATACCCTGAACAGCCGCCCCAGCCCTGCCCGGCACAGAGCCCTGGTGTCCCGGGATATCCCAACATCCACCCCAGCCCTGCCTGGCACAGACCCCTGGTGTCCCGGGATATCCCAACAGCCGCTCCAGCCCTGCCCGGCAC